GACCCATGATTCTTAACATGCCTCATTGTTCCCATAGAAACAACCCAAAAGGGGACATTTTCTACCCAAGATGACAGACGACAAAGGAAGCGGAACAGCTGCAAATTTACTCCCAGATTCTAATTTTTTATAACTTTATGATATGATGAATTATTTCTGAGATGCAAAATAGACACACCTGAAAGAATCTCAGTGTTGCAGAAAGTGCTCCAGACTGCACTCGCACCACATCACTTCAGTTGTCTGTGACCTTACACTAGTTTATTACCAAGTACCTTACCTTTCAGTTACTTTGACAATCCCACAAGAGGCTTTATCCCTTTGTAAATACACTTTAAAACCTAATCTGAACCTTAACTCTACCCGTAAAACATCAAAATGTTATGTTTTTACACAGAATCACAATCTGTTATGTAGTTTTAACTCCTGATTCCTAAGCCCGTATGACTGGCACAGGTTTTATTCTGCATGAACCTAAAGGAAAATGAAGACGTTCTCTCTCTTTGTCATTCTCATTCTCCCACGCTATCTCTCTCTAACTTTTTGTCTTTGCGAGTGACGAGCGAGCCTCGGAGCCTTTGAAGCCTGCTGTTTGGAGTGTTCACTATGTGAGACCAGCTTTTCCCTTCATTGTTTGACATCACAGAATTTTGGTCACAGCTTGATAAAATATACATATATGCGCCATGTATAATGTATAATAGTATTACTATGTGCTGTATGTGTAAGTGTAATACGGCTGCCAAGGTCTCTTAGAGTCAAATTCAGGTCAGTCTGCCAACTGAAACAACACACCTGCTGCATACCTGCTGCACACACCTGGTTCTCTGTATATAAGCTATGCCTGATCGCTAGCTATATGTAGCCTAACATTACTGTACTCTGCGTCATATTAAAATAAACAGATTGTTCATTCATGAATGTGTTAATTAAGTCTTCACAGCTTCTCTGTGTCAGTGTTAAATCTGTGAGAAGCGTTCTCTGTCTCTGTCTTTCTTTTCTGTGTACTGATGTACTTTATTTCTCTCTGAAACACTCGTTAAAATTAGACTCTTACTCATAATGCGTCCTTCTCTCACTTTCACTTTCTTAAAGTGAACAACGGGCCTTGAAGTCTCTGAGAGTGGGTCTATAAAGAGCAATGGGTTTTTTTTTTTTGCTGTGTGAAGGCGGCTTTTCTCCTCAGTGTGTCTGACATCTCAGTGCTTTGGTGTGAGCTTGATCGAGGGCATGTTTAGTTTCACTTCCTTCCTCTATTCCATTTCCTGATTTCCTGTGCATGTTGAGGCCCACGGCTGGTCTGTGTGAAAGGCTTTCAGGCACTGGTGGGTTTGCAACAATTTTTCACACTCTGAATCCGCGGTTTATAATCCCGTGTCATGGCAAACAAGGCAACAGTAGGATTAACAAGTGTGAGGTGTCAGGGCATTTTGCAATATTTCAATTTCAATCAAATTATATGATGAGATACCCCAACACAACCTTACTTTTACTTTTACTTTTACGTATTGAAGCAGCTGTTGTATCAGCAGCTGGCTCATGCTAGTTTGGTTTTAGCACACAAAAAAAACACACACATACAAGGAGGTTAATGTCCTCGCTACTAACTATAAGCGGCGTATCTTTGTAGTCTTCTCATTAAAAACTGCCAAATATTTCAAGAAACTGAGTGATGGAAAGACTGCATGTTGCCTGTTTGACCACATGGCCGGTTCGTTGCACCATGACAAGCGATCATAGTTCCTCTTAACGCTAAACCGCGGATTTTCACTGAGTGAGACAAAAAACAACTAGTGATTATGTGGTGTTTCCTCTGGTAGGAAAACAAAATGCAGCAGTTGCTGTGGTAGCACTTTGTCTAGACTATGTTATTGGTTCATTACAGACCCGTAAAACAATGATCAAAGAGGTCAAAATGTTGCTTTACACTGACCTCCAGTCCTTAACTGTAACTTTGAGCTCTTCATTTTACAGTTATTGCAAATCTTGTAAATTGCACAATTTTTTGCAGTCCACATACACAACCCATGCATCACTCTTCATTTCTCACTGTAAGAGAGGCTACAGATCAGATCAACTCATTAAATCAGTAAACAGACGGATCCCATTGATTCCACTTCTTTTTCCTGTTTTCAAGTAGTTTGCTGGCTCTTTATTGCCCTTCCATGAGCACAGACTCACTATGTATAGCCCCATACACATATCCACAAACGCAATTAATGTTGCAGAACGAGAAGCGAACATCACACATGTGAGCCCTCCGGAGCTGCTCATTCATTGTGCCTTAACAACGCAGCTAACGCCACCACAGTGGGCTAGCCCTTCAGGGCCCTTTATGTCCTCAGAGATGCGTCTATGGGGGCCAGACAGGCTCTTTGTAGCGTTGTCCCTTCACTGCCTTTGTCTTTCCATCGCATGGGATCCCATGGGTGAGGCCACAGTAGCGTCCCATGTGTTATTACTAGCCAATGATATAGTAGCTGCCACGGCCCTCATGAATTATGCAAGTCGAAAGGGAAGCAACTCCACCCTCAGTTATGTAAATTTAACTTTGAGGAGACAGAGGGAGGGAGGAAAGTTGCTGGGGGGGTGTGACACCCTTTTTTAGTTAAACGTGATCTGCTCATAGAGGGAGTTGGTATCCAGCATCACGAGGTGAGAATGTGTGTGAAAGGGGAAGCCACGAGTCATGATCTACTGATATACATATGCCCACAACAAATATTAGACATATTCATTCACAAAATGTATAAATGTACATTTAGCCACTGTTAATCACAACAGTAACCTATAACCTATAAGCATGTTATGAGAGTGTTTGAAGCTGGTAGGTTTTTCCCAGTAAAAATCCTACAGTGAACGGGAAGTGATGTGGGGTTTTCTGTGTTTTTAGTAATATACAAATGACGGACTATGGTATTTTATTTTAATGAGCAGTTATAACCAGCCTAGTTGGTCAGGCAAAGAAACAAACACCACATAAAAAAATTAACTTTCAAAGACAATCATTTGGTAACAAGGCTTTCGCAGCAGACATAGTGTACAGTGTTTGCTCACATTTGTGTGGACATGAGCTTTAGAGATGTATGGTGCCTAAGCCTACTACTAATGCTAATTCACCTCTGATTGTAGTTTCATCCCTGCCTCGATGTGAGTAAGCCACCCACCCATGCATAAAACAAACTCTGCCTATAAATAACCCTGCCTGGGCCAGACCAGGCCAGGCCAGGCACTGAGCATAAGTATGGTTCACAACCCCTCCACACATGGCAAATCTGTTGTATGTTATTATGTCATGACTGACAGCAAACACTGACTTATTGATGTCTCTCTATCAATAATTGTATTGGTACTAGCATGACTTCTAACAGTAAATGGACCAATAAGATTCTCCTCTTACACTCCCAATCTAGTTTTCTCTCAAATCTCAGAGTAAACAGATCCATAGACAGATTTCTGTTCCCACTGATGACATTAAAATCCTCTACTTTTTTTAAATTGTCCACTTCACCTGTGCGCTCACATTGAACAGCGGATACCCAATTGGATTGGGAAAGAACTGTAACTGCATATCATATTGACCGCCCCACTGTGACATTGAGTTTGGAGTGCTATTTTCCAGGAAACAAGCCTAATCCCCCTCTCCATCAGTTACACAATACATCCGTAGTACTGATATTCAAATCTTAATCACCTGTTTTGCATCAGATGAGAGCATTAGGGCATCCATCATAGAGTAATATACTGTAGTGTGTGTTTGGGTGTGTTATTGGTACAGTCTAATTTTTTCTGCAGCAGGTCTGCAGGCTCAGTAGGTGAGTGTCTACCTCACTGTGTGTTGTCACTGAGCCAAACACACAGATTCACTGTTATGAAGGCGAATATTAATCTGGTCGTGGCTCCGGCTGTCCTGTTATTGAAGCAGATGGTATCTGACAAACAGGAGCTATCTATCTAACTATCTATGTATGTATATGACATTTCTTGCAATATAAAGACTGAGTTGTTTGTGATACATTATTAGTTAAATGTGTTAATTATTTAAGATATATTGCTACATAACACGAAAAGCAAACTAACAAATCAAAACAACCAATCAGGATATTTTGATTGCCTTTGTTCCTTCATATAGGGAAGCCGAACCAATAGCTTATTTGTTTAGAGTCTCAATTTAAAAAAAAGTTATTATAATACGTAAATGTTAGTACATGTTGTTAATACTATGAGATAAATCCACTTCTCTATTAGGGATAGCCCACAACAAAGCCTCATCACCACTTAACCTTTATCCTCAGTGTACCTACATCACCTATAGAGGGCAGATTGAAGAGCTCTGTGTTCATAATGGTTGAGTGTTGACCAACACTGTCTGTAAGTAACAGTCACTGTAAGTAACTTGAAGTACAAAGTAAAAGAATCAAAGAAAGTATTTTTTCCTTCATTTTCGCCCACAGTATGGCTTTTATGTAGCCCTAAGTTGCCCCAAATCGATGGCTTCCAAATTCCGTCAAATGTTTTGTCAATTTAGTGTTTCCTTGCTCACTGTCAAATAAACTCATGATACATAGCAAACATTAAGAACTCTCTGCAGTGGCAAGGATCACCCCTTTTCTTCGGCATACACCCCACACACAAGCATGAACTACAGTGAATACAATTCAAACTAATATCATTTGTTGACTTCCTTTCCGCCACCACAATAAACTGCGGGAGCGGTAGCGAGCGGTGTCCCCAAGATTTTAAAAAGTTTACGTTTTCCTGAAACCAAGTGCTAATTTCTGGATTGTATCGAGCCGAATAAGATAAATGTCTATTTCCTTTTACAATAAACTTCAGTCGTGTACTTAAAGTTATGCTCTTTTTTCGGAGGGTCAAGGGACCTTTAAACTAGCATAATTCTTACAGAGTCTGGTTGCGCTCTCTGTCTAACGGGGCTTAAGTTATAGCTTGGCGACGGAGCGAGGAGCAGTCATTGGAGAACGTCTACAGTCGATTCTTACCTGAGACATCTGCGGTCGGAGGTTGATTTCCTTTAGGTTGATGGACTGGGGTCTCAGGTTGTTGAGCAGATGGCACAGGAGGACTCCATCCCGGAGCGTTTGGGCCAGGTCAAATACCTGTGCAGACTCCCATGTAACCCGGTGGTTAGCTGGAAGCACCTTGCAGTTAATTAACCACAGCGCGCATTGCCTCCAGTACTCCATCATTATTCTGACTTCAGCCGGACGAGCTTTAAGAGAATTTGTTTTGTTTGTTTTTTTAAGCAAGTGGGAACAGCTGACGGCTCGGTTAGTGCGTCTTTATATCGGATCCATGCTATATCCGCAAAGAGTAAAAGCCGATGAAAACGGAACTGGAGCAGAGCGGAGGGCTGGTGAAGATGCAGGGGAGCCGCTCCAAAGATGACAGTCCGGTGTACTGAGGGTGTGGATGGAGCGCACCCTGCACTCTCTCTCTCTCTCTCTCTCTCTCTCTCTCTCTCTCTCTCTCTCTCTCTGTCAGTCACACACGCTCTCTCTCTCTCTCTCTCCCCATCTCTCTCTATGTCTCTCTTCCCTCCCCCTCACCCAGTTCTTCACCTCTTCCGCTTGCCACCCATAGGCTCGTTGTGCACAGTAAAAGATAGAAAAAGACAGGCTGCAGCCACATCGGATAATAATTAAAGAACACAACATTGGCTGTAGTGGAAGGAGCATGCTTTTATTTAAACATGTTGATTAATTTAGCATATTTGTACAGCCAGTATTATCACCCAGCCCAAGTTCCTTTCTTCATGCAAATTTCCCATCTGAGTACCATAAGGCTTGTTAATTAATGATTGAACAAACCAAATAAGTTTATAACACTGAGACCTACTTTTCTTCATCATAGGACTATTATACAGGCTCCAAAATATGTTAGCTGTGGTCTGACTTTATGACTCATAAACCCACTGAAACTCTTTATTGTACATTCATTTGACTTTATCATATGAGCTGAAACTAGTCTAAAAACTATAGTTTGATCTGTCTATTGAAATAAAGACTATATACTATATATATTACGCATGTAATGTTCTGGTATAATTTCCAAAAAGTATAATCAAATCTAACTGAATTAATGGTTGCATATTCTTGTTCAGTGATGCGTTTTATTTGTTTTACCAGAACTCTGAACCTTACATTTGCATGAGTCAAACACTGGGTTTTTGGAGGAAATGCTGCAGCTCCTGCAAAAGCAAATATGCATGTTATCTGCTTATTTTTGTGGAAGATTCACTGGATACTCGAGAGGTTTTTGGTAGAGTAGGATTTAATGGTGCTGCCGGGTTACGTGTTATGTTTAAAAATGTAACCACTGCACAGCTGTAATTCTGTTCCTCTCATATACTAACAATAAGAGCCCTGTCTTTTGATTTGCCTCTTTATTTAGCTGTCATAGGGCTCTGTGGTATTCAGACTCAGTGAAATTGAATGTTGTGAGCATTATTTTGAAGAAGAAAGAAAAGGATGTTGCACAGTACGTCTAATTTAGGAGTGAAAGTAGTAGCATTTATTGACTGGATTTTTTTCAGTAAACCTACAGAATGACAAAGCCTCATTCAAGATTCAGTGTAAAATGTTTACATAGCTTAACACTCATCTATCCAAAACTGCAGGATATGTACATCCACTACAAAGCTACAGAAACTACAACAATTTGGCTCCACCTTCTCCATCAGCTTAGCAGTTGTCCCTCCTCCAACTACCACTTTCTACAATGAAAGGCCAATTCATTCTCTTTTATCCATCTAATGAAGACATTTCCAGTTTCAAATACCCTACTGCCATTGTTCCTCTGTTTCGGAGAAAGTAAACACAGCAACTTCTGTTTTTGCTACTTCCATGCAATTTACATATGTTACACATCACCATGCTTTTTATTGTAAGCAGTAATAGTAATAGTACATATGTACATATATAGTACAATACTGATACAACAGATAATTGTTTTTATGCTTTGAAAACAAAGCTTTTATTATCTGAATGTACACGCATGAACAGTATGCACCAAGAGAGGCAAATATGTGTTAAAATATGCTTTAGTATTTCTAACATATTCATCCTGCAAATGCACAACTCTGCTTATCATCTCACTAAGACCATGATTGGCATGACTGAGCCCGTATATGTTCTAACTGAAGATGGGTTTATCTTTTATTGCTTCTGAATAACATGAGGACGCTGTGTGCTGACAGCTCTGGTTAGTCTTATAATCATCAAATTAAATGATTTAAATTGCCCAGTAATGGGAATGGAAAGGATGTGGGGTATTGCAGTATGTGCAAGCTTCCTTTGCATCATCTTTACCTGGTGCCAGTACATTATGTAGCCTATAGATTGTGCCCAACATACATTGACTAGCTGAGATAGTTTGACCAAGAATGTTTGTCTGTCATTGTCATGGTGCTTATGAGCGAAACCCAAACTTACCCTGTGGAGCTGCTGAGTATAGAAGACTGCAGTGATGGCCTCAAGGCATGAATGTGAAGCAAGAGAGTGCACCTGCAATGCAATTCAGATTAGAAGTTTTTATTGATCCCTGTTGGTCTATTGGCACAACAAAAAGCAATAGGCTATCTAAAGACTGTAGAGCAATGGAGACTAAATAAACATCTGAATCAGAAAGAGTGATTTAAGCATGAGAGCAACGTAACATCACAGAAAGACATGACAAAAGTAGAGCATTCTGAATGTATTAAATAGCAAAGACAGGAATGAAAGCGGATGAAAAATCCAATATATGAAAAAGAATACAACTCTCTACATAGCACAGGGTGTGCAGAAATGTGCTGGTAATCACATTAACAGCGCTATATGAGACTGATCTCACAGTATGTGCAGAAATGATGGAAGATAAGAAGAGAGGAACTATGCACCTACAGGATCATTTTCTTTTTACAGATAGAAATAAGATTCACAGAGACGTTAAGATATGCAGTGGAAGGAACCTTAAAGAAAAACGCGAAGAATGTCTGTCGATGAATTATACATTTACATACAATGCCAGAACAGCGGCCTGTGCAAACAATGCTGTGAAGATTAGTCTCCAGCCTGCGCATGTGATGTGGAGCTCCTCACTCTGCATCTCCACTTCTTACTCTTCATATCTGTGCAGATGATTTGGACGAACGTCAAAACAGAAGGAATGTCAACGCTCCTGCTCTTTTGTTTATCCACATTGTTTTCAAATCAAGACTGATCAGGAGTGGAGGGAGTTTCTGCGGCCGAGCTGTGAGCATCCAGCTTTTTTCTTCCGCTGGCCGCACACTGGATGCCATGGCTGTCATAGCACAGATGACAGGAGAGGTGGCTGGAGGCCGGATGCTGGCGCACCTCTCAGCACCCTTCTCCTGTTTCAGCTTCCTCTCTCCGACTAGAAGGACAGCCATGTGGCCAGACAATTATCAGCATTCCTCTGATTAGTGCTGTGCAGGGACCGAAGAGAAACACACAAACACAAAAGTGTGGTGCTCTTTTGAGGATGAAAAACATAAATTTGGGAAATTTCAATATTCTCAGTTCTTTTTAAAATTGCACTCACACAGAATCACCCTAACCCAATAATCCCAATGGTGTATAACGCTGTTTGTTAATAATTAATGATTTGCCTGTTTCTGATTTGTTTCATCTGGAATATGACCAGAATTAGAAGGTAATGACTAACCAAGGGATCTTCCAAGAAACAGCATGATTATGTCTGCGCACATATGGCAGATGTGATCTGATTGCCAGGCCTTTGGATTCACTGCCACAGCACATAATTAAAGTGCTTTGACAATCAAAAAAGAAATAAAATGTTAATTGAGTCACTGAAGATAAACAAAAACAAGAAGATGGCACACAATAAGAGGGTATAGGATGTAACAGAAGATATCAGAAATAAAAGATATCACATGAAAGCAAGTATATTAAACTAAATTATAAGTGTGTAGTCATGCTAGCGGCGCTTTGAGACTGCATTTAGGCAGCAGTGCTTTGAAGTCAGTATGCTAACATGGTGATTTTAAGCTGGTATTATGTTTACTATAATCACCATCTTAGATTAGTGTGTTAGCATGCTGATGCTGATGAAATAGTGAAAGATGTCAACCTGTTGTTGGCGCTAGAGGAAATGTTAGGTACCACAAAAATCAGTAGGATTCCTCCTCTGCGGACCATGAATGTCTGTGCCAAATATCATGGCAATCCATTTAATACGTTGTTTGAGATACGTTGTTTGTTTGGAGCAAAGTGGACCAACCTAGGAATAGCGGGAAGTCGAAACAATGGCATGGCACCACCTCAGAGAGAAGCTAGAAAAGACTCTTACTTGCTGGTTGATGTCATAGGATGTCTTTTTTGGTCAGGCTGGAGCCCAAAAGAGAAAAAAAAAAAAAAACATAACCCCACAAACAGAAAGTTTTATTGTGCAGGCCATAAGATGAACCTAAACACTGTTTCCAGGTCAACGTACATGCCCTTCTTGTTGCACATTATAACTTCGCAAGTTTTGGCATCAAATAACAGACTGGCATCAACTGCACTCCCCACTGTCCTGCCAGATGATCAAAGCCCCCAAAGCTCAGCATCCCCCGAACATGAGGGCACTGCCACATTGTCCGCACTCCATCAATGTCTTCTTGCAATTCTGCCAGGCTGTAATTTATAGAGCTTCACCCTGCTCATTGTGTCACTTGATCTGGTGACAGTGGCTGATCTATTTGTGCAGCTCTTTTATCCCCTCAGTGAAGGGCATGTTATCTCCCTGCCAGAGAAAGCAAATGCTCTCCATTTCCTGCAGATTTGCCCTATGAAGATATATCTTTCTGCTGTATCTTGACTGTATTTACATACATTTAAATGTCATGTTTTTTTCATTGACAGACCCGGCTTTGAGCTCTGTCATACTCTTCTTTTTCTCCTATTGATACAACATTTAATTGAGCAGGATTTTGCTACAAGTGTAAACATAAAGTAGTATGAATACCTTCAGTTTTGTTCCAGAATGACATCCACAGCCATAACATAGAGGTAACACTAAGGGCAACCATAGCAGCTTATTCATTGTTTTCTAACTGCTATTGATTATCTTTGCGCTCTATTTTGCTGGTTTAGGAGGCCAGAAGAGAAATCAATGGTCTGGGATACCCATGAGAGGCCGGGGATAAGTGGAGCCTGGCCAGGCCTTGCAGGGTTTCATCAGAGTTGGAATAGTGGAGGGGATCAGCTGGGGAACGGTCAGGATGGAGGCAATGGAGTGGAAGATACACACAGAGAGAGCGTGATGAATTAAAATGACAAAGAGAGTCTTTAAAAGCTATTTCAACATCTAGTAATTTTCCCCTCTGGCGTTGCAGTAGAGTGTAAATTAACTTACAAATGAAGTGTTTAACCTTGGAAGAATTTAAAGTAAACGTTAATGGTTGTCTTGAGTTTAGACACAGGGGGTCAGACACATAAACAGTCCATAAGGCTGGAGAGCCAAGCTCAGTGGGTGA